AGCATTTATATAAATCAGAAATAGTAAAGGCCCTAATACACTACCTTGTGGAACTCCAAAATCATTCACTAACTCTTGTGAGTAGCACCTATTAATTTTTGTTATTTGACTTCGCGAACTGAGGTAACTTTTCATCAACCTCAAAACTACATCACCAAAACCATAATATTTGAGCTTTTAGATTAATATATCTCTGTCTATTGTTTCGAATGCCCTCTTTAAATCCAAGAATGTACTAACAACGTAATTATCTTTATCAATTTGTTCTTTCCAATTTGTTATTGTGAACTGTAGGGCAGCGTCACACAAATGCTTTTTTCTGAAGCCTGACAGACAACCTAAAAGTAACCTGTTTTCATGAAAGTATTTGTTGAGTTCCTCATATACTGCTAATTCCAATACTTTTTCAAGGGTTGGAAGAGTATTGATAGGACGAAAATAACATGCTTCATCAGTATCGTTTATTTTTGGTATTGGTATTACTGTGCTTATTTTGAAGTATTGGGGAAATTGTCCTGCTTGAAGAGATGTATTAATGAAGTTCAGTATAACATGCCCCAAGGTGTTGAATGTCTCTTTCAGAAATAGACTGTTCATTATATCAGATCTATTAATTTTATTTATTGAAAATATTATATTTTTCAACTGCGGCAGATCTATCTGCTTAAGAATGGTAAGGACATCGAGCGAGATTTAAATCGGACATAACCTTGAAATTTATCGAGACAAATAGGGGCGGACCTTATTTCCTTCAAACGATCGCGAGAAGACGTACTGACCGATTCGTCAATTGATGTTTAAAGTATGAGAGAGAGATGGAGCACTAGAACGACCAACACTTCTTACATACAAGGGGAATGGTATTGAATTTTTATTCATAACATTTCAGGTAGGAACTAGGAAGAGCGATGTTAGATAGCGATCTATTGTTTACACAGCATAGCTCTATAGACATAAAATGTTTTTCTTCTGTGGTCTATATACGCATGATTCTTCCGAGACTGAAACTTCATTTGAAATAATTTAAACTCTTTCTCCAAGGTATATTTGAATTAAGTACTTATATAATAACTCTATTTATATCTTTCCAGTATCAACATCGTTATGTACAGATTTGTTCAGAAATATTATCAACACTTATATAATAGACATATAAACATCCCAGCAAACATATCATAAATGGCCCATTAATGGCTAGACAACTTCTGCCCGACAAATATTGAATGGCCCGGTGCCGGCGAGTCATCAATGGGCCAGCCAGCCCGTGTCCCACCGGCCGGCTGCCGGCCGATACAAATGCCATCATTCGCGCCGTTAGTGTCGGCATTGGGCCAGTGCTTGGCCACCATCGACACATGCCCGCCAGTTCGGGGCCGTTGGAAACAGCAAGTGATCGGCATGATTATATTTACTAAAATATGCCATCAATTCCCCACAAGTATGCCATAAAGAAACCACTAAGTATTAACAGATACAAATTCAATTTAAAAGGAATGCATTATTATAATGCCATCACAAATGCCATCATTCGCGCCGTTAGTGTCGGCATTGGGCCAGTGCATGGCCACCATCGACACATGCCCGCCAGTTCGGGGCCGTTGGAAACAGCAAGTGATCGGCATNATTCATTAACTCAGCGGGATTCTCTGTATATATAGGAAAGTTTTTTCCTTATAATTTTTTTTGCTAAAATCCATCATTTTCTCGTAGAATTCTAAATTAGATTTCAGTATGACGCGCTCACTCCTTACGACTCTTAAAAGAATTTAATTTAAAATTTACTATGTCGAAACTGTTTGAACTCATCTGACTCAGAATTTATATTGTTTACAATTTCACCTATGCTATTCACAAAATATTCATTGAATGCTTTTGCAATATCAATTTCTGTGCTACAAACTTTCATTTGATCATCGACATTGAATACTATCTTTTCAAAATCATAGCTTTCAATTGGATTTATAAGTGATTTCAAATATTTCCACATTTCTTTCGCATTATGTTTATTTTCATCAATTTTCTGTTCATAATAACGCTCTTTCTTTACTTTTAACATATTCACATAGTCATTTCTCACTCTCTTATAATTTTTTCAATTTATATGTTTACTTAAGTTTGTACTTTGTTTGAATTTCTTATAAGCTAAATATGTTTCCTTTGCTTTGATTTTCAATTCACTATCATAGTATGGGACTTGATTTGATTTTATTTCAACAGAATGTTCTGATGCTACCTGATCAACAATATCTAGACAGTTCTTTGTTATATTCTCCAATATCACATCAACGTTAACTGAATTCAAATTCCAGTTACAAGACAATAGCTCAATATTTATGTTATAATAGGTATGTACGTTCATTTTTCTAATTTGCTTTAATGTTTCCCCTAACGTCATATTCGCATTACAGAAATTTACAGATATGATAGAGTGGTCAGTTAGTTTTGGATTATCATGAATAATTGCTCGATTAGAATCAATATTTGTTACAATATAATCTATAAGAGTAGAGCTATGGTGCGTACATCGTGTCTTTGTATTTACAATTTGATCTTCTCCATACATATTAAATAAATGTTTGACCTTTTTGGTATAGAAGTAATCATCATCCTCATAGTCCATATTGAAGTCGCCAATAATCAGGCATTTTTTTCCTATTCAGTATGTCTCCAGAATGTCCTCTAATGTATCTAAAAATGTTCCATGATTTGAGCTTGGAGAATGGTAGATACCACCGATGTGCCACTTTTGTGACTTTATCTTCACACTTATAAACTGTATCCAAAAGTTCCCATCCACAATTTTAGGTTTGATAACTCTATAATCTATTCCTACTCGAACATATATTAATACTCCACCAGTTCATCAATTTTTGCTATCGCACCGAATTACTTTATAGTTATTTATGCTGATTTCAAAATTTTGTATGTCTGATGTTGTTCTTGATTCACTCAAAATGATGAATGATGGATTCAATGCTACAATGCTAGTTATAATATCATTCATTTCGGTAATGAATGATTCAAATAAAAGCAAGGCCCATAATAAATAGACTTTCATCTTCAATACAATCATTGATATGAATAAGATCCAAGGACTTGTCGAATATCAAATGTGTAAAGATTTGCCTTAGTAAGATCAGTCCTAGATTATAGCAATTGCATTTGGTCACCCACTTATGAGAGTTATGTATACAACACTGAAAAGGTGCAAAACAAATTCTTTTGATTTTTAGTTTTCAAATTAACAATGTCTTAAGATGATATTTGTAGGACTAAGTAGTTGCAGATTGGAAACTTATGGTTTTGAGTACATGAGCATTAGATGGTTTGAATCATACTTCTTGCTTAGAAAGCAATTTGTAAAACTTTCGAAAGACTCCAGTGTGGGAGAAATCAAAGCAGGTGGCAGGTAAGAGATCCTACAAAAGTAGCTCAAGATGCCACTGAGATATGGAAATAATAAAAAGCTGGTGCTACTCAAACAAGTTTTCATTAAACTTTAATAAAACCCATCTTCTCACCATCAAATGTGAGCTCCCACAGCTTAGTTTGAATGACAACATTCTCGAAGTAAAATTGTCCTCTAAATTCTTAGGACTTCACAATAAACTTAAATTCCAGGATCATATTATTAAGCTAAATGAAAAACTCACATCTGGCTGTTTTGTTATCAAGTCAGTTTCAAGAGTACTAAGTAGAACCTTTGCAAGATCTGCTTACTTTGCCTTTATAGATGCACATATGAGATATGGCATTGCCTTCTGGGGAGTCTGCAGCAAAAGCATGCTGCAGGCTGTTTTTGTTTTACAGAAGTGAGCTGTTCGACATGTGTGCGGGGCAAAGTTCCAAGAACACTGCAAACCATTATTAATTTAACAATTCATAAAAATATATCTACTAGTGCATTTGTCTGGGTGTTGGACGACCGACTGCTCTTGTACCAGATTGTTGGTACCCGTCTTCAATTAGTGTGAGAATCTTTGTGTTATGAAGTGCCGGTAACCATGTCTTGTTGATGTTTAATATCTGTTCCATACAGGTGAAATTATTCTTATGTTTATTTATGTTTATGTTTATGTATTTTTTCCAAATAAAGCAATATTAGAATCAGAGATAACTTTTTGTGAAAAATGTTTTAACGGAATTTTGCAAGTGGTTATAGAATCAGATTCGAATTTTCATTTTTTTTTTCATAGAACATAAATTGAAAGGTTTTATCAACTATTCTTGAGCATCAATTGGGTTTGGATGAAGATGAATTGTATTGTTCAGATCTATAATTTTTTTTGAGAATTTTATAGCTGAACGATTTAATTCTCATACATTCAGTAGGAGATTCTTTTTAGTTTTAGTCATAGTTCTATTGAATGGTCTATAAAATGTAGTAAAAAGGTAAATCAAAATCGTGGGCTAAACACAAACAATGTAAGATTCCGTGTTAGGAATCACACGTTAAAAGGTAAGACCTCGTTAATCCTTAGCTCGCACAAGTTTCGACTTCTGAGGGTTGTCGTTCATAGGGGTGCGACAGCTGGTTAACGGAAAAACAGATTTTAAACAGATAAACAGATTTAAAAAAACAAATAAATCATTACCTGTGTTATCTGTATCATCAGTTCTGCTATATCCTCTGCCGAATCGCCTGGCAAATCCTCCTCCTTTACCTCTGTTCGAGTTTCTATCTCTTGATCTTGATCTGGACCTTTCATTTCTACGAGGCGACCTACTACGTCGCCTCTCTCTATCCCTTCCATCTCTTGGTGACCTGCTCCGCCTCCTATCTCTGTCTTTTCTGTATCTATCATCCCTACTACTGTATCTGTGAAGTAACCATGACTTGAATTTTGACTTCAGTATTGGTATAATAATATGAATGAAAACTGAACAAGAAACTGAATTCAAAGAATACTAATCTAATACAATGCATATCACATTGGACTTCCATTAGAAGTTCGAGGTGGAGGAGTGAAATTATTATTGAAATGTTTCGTATAAAGGTTTTAGTTGTCTATATAGTCAGCTTTTCAAACTCACAATAAAGAGAACCAGGTAAAAATGTGACATCCCAAAGTTAGGAGTTTTAATATTTATAATTGCTTTCTGTATTAGGATTTAGTCAGAAAAGTACATTAAAAAAAATATAAGATATCCATATCGAGTGGTTCATAAATAATGTCAAAAAGTTGATCAATTCAATAGTTTTCAACTTCTCAGTATCTCTGTCAAGTTACTACTGGTCAATAAAAATCTCGAATCATTCAAAATATTCTCCCCAGAAGAGAAACAAATGTTTTTAATTAAATTCTGTTGAAAATAAATGAAAATTTGTTTTTGGGTGTCATACAAAGTATTGAACCACTAGGTATTTACAATCCCATATAGGGTGTTCAATTTTAATATAAAACAAAAGGCTTCAATCAGTATTACAAAAAAAAATCAAGAAATATACAAAATATCCTCATAACAAAACTGACTAATACGGGGCGCTTCAACTAGTACCCTATAAATTAGTAAGTGATCCAAAGAAACTCAATGTATTGATATTCACTTTCTTACCCTCAACTTCTAATGAAAACTTGAACTGACATACAATGTATAATTAGATCACCAGATTTAACCGTTTCTTCTCATATAACAGTGACAAAGAAGGTATAAGTATTTGTTCAAATCAGCATCAGTTTAATTGAAGATTTTATGAAATAATCTTTGAGACATTGAATATTGATATTAAATATTGAACTCCAATAACTAGAATGATGTACCTTGATTACTGATTAACAAGATGAACAAAAAAATTTTGAATGCATTATTTGTAAAGTAAACAATCAACACTATAAGTATATTTGAGTGATTTCAAATAAAATAATGAATTTATACTGACCTCTCTCTGGATTTCGCTCGTCTGTCATCTCTTCGATCTTTCACTTTATTATCATCTCTTTCCCTTAATCTGTCTCCTCGATCTCTTGCTCTATCATCATCTCTGCTACTCTTTTCTCTATCTTCTTCTCTATCATCTCTATAGTTGGGCTTTTCGTCGTCTCTGTTATGCCTACAATTAGAAAATTGTTTATATTCCAATTGGGTTGACAAAATAGTGCACTTGTCAAAGATTCGTGCATGCGATATGAGTCGACAACTACTGAAAACAAGCAACTTGGGTTTTATCCTGACCAACCTAACCTTTGATAAAAATTTGCTTTTATTTTTGAAAATTACTTTTACGATTTTAGGTCAATTTCATAAATTTGTCAGGACATTTATTTATTGTGAAATTATCAATTGGTCTGAAAGTCTAAGAAATTGCTGAGGACTTATGTTTATATAGCTATTTCTCTTCAAAGCAGTGAGTATGATCTATCATTTAAAAAAAGCTATCTTGGATTAAATGCAAACGTTAACTATTTCGTCTTTCTATTTTACTTGTTGAAGAAGAGGATGCAATATAAAAGTATGTGTTTCATGTCGAATTTTATTGATTTTGGGTGAACATAAGTAATTTACTGTAAATATACTTGATGTGTGAATAATTTAAACGATAATTCATGACATTACTACACCAGTGTCAATACATTAAAACTACTGCCGTCAAATTTTCAGTGTTGCCATTATAAGTACAAATCCTTGTTTGAATATGGTCAACAATATTTCTTGTTGAATGATAGAGGTTCAGACTGCCACTGATATTTCAGGACTATAGATAAAGTACACTAAAGACTGGCTTCATGTTTCATTAAAGGTTTCCATACTTCAAGGATCTCCGCATTAGTCGGACTGAATGCTTTGTTGTTTAGTATGTACACAGCATGACAGAAATATTTATTCATCTTACTAATTTCACTAATTTTGGCTTCATGTTTCATTAAAGGTTTCCATACTTCAAGGATCTCCGCATTAGCCGGACTGAATGCTTTGTTGTTTAGTATGTACACAGCATGACAGAAATATTTATTCATCTTACTAATTTCACTAATTTTGCAAAAATTATACTCTCTGACAAACTAAACCCTCTTAGTACAGAAATGATCTAAATAATATCACTCGACAAATTTACCTGGTTCTTTCTTCACTCCTGTCCCTGTCTCTGTGTCTGTCTCCGTTGTCTTTCCTATCATCTCTTCTGTCATCTCTCCTATCTCTTCTATGATCATCTTCATCTCTGAATTTGGGACTGCAACGACGAATACTGTCCTTCTCCCTACTCGATTTCCGCTGGTGCTTCGATTCACAATCAGAATCCTGGAGGAAAAAGTCTCTCTTACCTATTGGTGGATTTACCAACACATCTATTGAACAGGAGAATAATGAGTTTCTTGAATATCAACAAGGTTTTACATTGAGGGAAACTTTATTAAACCATCTCGATTTTATTATTTTTTTATGCATTTTTAGAATAACTGAAATTATATTGTTTACATAAAAAAAAATATTGATATGTTAATCGAAAATTTGACGCAAATTCGGGATATCCAGAAAGAAATCAAACCTTTATTCTCTGTTTTACATTAAATGATGATTACGTCACATTGAAGGTAAAAATTTTATACCAAAAAAATAAATAAATTTGCTGTGCAACATTTTATATTTATTAAAATGTCTACAATATACTGAAATAGAGTTAAGTTTTTGGAGAAGTGGATCTTTAGTACTGCATAAAATTCATTCAGCATTCTCTTTGCTTTCGAGTAGAACGTGAATATAGGTTTCTGTGTACATTAATTTTCGACACCATTATTTTTTTGAAAAACAAGAAAGATAATTCTACGAGCGATTCCTCTGTTTCATAAAACACGACTATACTGGGAGCGCAAGTGACCCAGGATAATCAAAGCCACAAACCGATAAAAAAATTGCTGAGAGAAATGTCACAGTAGAATAATACAACCAGTAGGCTCTCTTACCACGTGATCCGCCCGAGTTGCCGAGGACCTTCAACCGCTCTTAGGATGAGATTCTCATCCAACGCGTTCAGTGCTGTAGTTTCGAAGGATTCGACGGTACCACGGGCATCGGATTAGTTATAATAAACAATCAGAAATTGATATTGTGTTTAGTTTATTCGCTGGTGTTTATTGTTTTTAGTTTCTGTAGTTGGTTATAAATAACTTACCACAAAATCGTCTATATCTTCAAATTTCGTTTTTATATGAGCGCACGCCTATGGTAAAAGAAAGAAATTGGCTCTGCACTTCGTTTCGAGGTCACCGACAACTTTGTGAATTTATGAATGAAAGTAGTGGGAGTGGACTTACTGGTCGATTTTTACTATGGAAATGTCATTGAAAAACCTCCAAATAGAAAATGTCATAGAATGATGCTCAAAAGGATAATCCGAGGAAAGTGTTAAAAAGAGACACAGAGAGAGTATAAACTCCTTAATAAAAAAAAGATGAAAACCCAAGAAGATCCAAGAACACAACCACCACTAACCGGTAGAAAAGTCAGTGAGGGTCTACAAAAAGATGGATCACAGATCATAATTGACTGCACACTTCCTCGCTTGAGGGAGCATCAAGAACAAGGTAGCACTCAGTTGCTTTCTCGGATATTTAGAGCTTTTTCAATAATACGTCTTCAGATAAGCGGCATGTAGTAAATTTCAAGATTAGAAGATTGGAATTAACAATTTTGAGGAAAATAGTAGTAGTAGCCCAGGCTATTTTCGGGAGATTAAAGGTTTGCATCACTACTATTTCTTCTAGGATATCTAACACTTTTAAGTCAATGAAATACAACTCCAGCAGAAAACAAAGAATAAAGAAAAATGTGAAGGTAGCATTAACGCTTAGGACAGACACCATAATGGTGGTTAAACCCATAAATAATGCATATCTAAGTTGCTTGCCAAAAATGACGAACAGTCTACCCAAGAACACCCTGAGTCGAAAAGTATATGCAATACTGTAATATGCAAGCAACATGAATTTGTGGTCTCAACAAAATGAGCGAATCAATATTCTTTCTTACTTATAACCAGACCACAGTTGTGGCACATATTAATCCAATAATGATCTAGAGATCTAGAGATTTTGCAGGAAATACAATAAAAATCCGAAAGAAATAGCAAAACAAAATTCCAATTAATAACTTTTCAATCACAAGTGAAGTTACAGAACAAATACACTAACTTACACTTCTCATATTATTTTATCAGTACTAAATTATCTGAAAGGTATAAGTGGAACCTTTGGTGTAGAAAGGATCCAATACTATAAACATACTTCTCCTTATAACAAGAATTACTCATCTTGAAAAGGATTTTACCAACCAAGTTGGCGTCATTAGAAAATGAACTAAATTTATTCTTCAACTCTCACTTTGCCTTTTGACTATGTATCTGACTATTTATATGTCATTCGAGTGCTTTCACCTATCCCCTCTTCCCTCTCTCCACTTCATCGGTTTTAGCGGAAGCTGACCGTTTGGCGAGAGTTGGTCGTGTTCCGCTTGATTAGAGGTTTCCATATGTTGCGTATCTCTACGCTAAATGCGTTGTTGGAAAACATATATGCGGCTTCTTTGAATTTCCTCCTAAACCAGTGTTCTTCCTTGTGGATGATTTCAGCTTGAGCCCACTTGATGTTATGTTAATGAGTCCAAACATGCTCTGCTATTCCTGATTTACTGGTTTCTCCTCGCTGTTTCTTGTGTTCGGCAATGCGAACTTTTAATGACCTCTTAGTTTCACCGATGTATGATTCTCCGCACTCGCAGGGTATCCGGTAAATGCAATTCTTGGAATCGCAGTCCGCGTTTGATGTCCTGGTTTTCGTGAGGCTGCTAGGAATAGTGTTCCCAATCCTTCTTATCCTTTCCGACAATCCTCTGATGTATCGGAAAGGATACGAAGGATTCGATCCAAGTATAACATCAGAACCTGCTTCAGATCTGGGAACACTATCCGTAGCAACCTCGCCCCACGAAATCCAGGCCACCAAACGAGGACTGCAATTCCAAGAATTCCATTTACCGGATACCCTGCAAGTGCGGAGAATCAGACATCGGTGAAAATAGGAGGCCATTGAACGTTCGAATTGCCAAGCACAAGAAACACACACAGCTAGGAGAAACCAACAAATCAGGAATAGCAGAGCATGTTTGGACTCATCAACATAGCATCAAGGGGGCTCAAGCGGAAATCATCCACAAGGAAGAACACTGGTTTAGGAAAAAATCCAAAGAAGCCGCATATATGTTGTCCAACAACACATTTAGCCAAGCTAACCTAGAGATATGCAAAATATGGAAACATCTAATCAAGCGCGGAACACGACCAACTCCCGCCAAACGGTCAGCTTCCGCTAAAGCCGATGAAACGGAGAGAGGGAATAGGGGATAGGTGAAAGCACTCGAATGACATATAAATAGTCGGACCTCGGAGGAATAAGTCCAGTTATCACCCGAAGACGATTGTGGATACTAACAATCGAAACGTCGTGAAGTAACTTGGTTTGGAATCTTTTAATTTTCATTTCTTCTTAATAATTTTTTAATTTTTATCTAGTCCAATTTTTTGGTTGTTGCTAGTATTTTATTCCATTGTAATTTCAGTTTTCTGCTCAATTTAATTGTTATTTTTCAGCTAATCATTTCAATTTTTTTCAGATTCTTTCAGGGATTTCAAATCAATTCATATCATATTAGACAATTGAAGACCAAACTAATAAAATATAATCTACTGATCTACTGATTATATATTCGACAATGTCATATCATTAGTCTTCTTGGATGATTTGTGGATAAGAAAATTACTTGAAAGGTGAAAGAAAAAAGTTGAGTGGTGTAATGTTAATGCGTTGGATAGGAGAAATTTAACTTCTCAAAGAATCTGGTTAGTGGATTCAGGAGGAATTCCACAAATGATTGGAATTTATTATCAAAACTTCAATTACTGAAAACGTCTATTAATCGTGATAATCACGTTGACGTCCTGTACGAATGAACTGCAAAATTCATATCGACGATTTTCGTAGATTTATTTTCCTGATAATGCAAGAATATCATGTTTCCCATAATATTAAGTAAACATGTGNGGTTTCCAGGTTTTGCAATTATAATTGTATTTTATTAGGCTTTATTAAAAAATAGGAGATGATTCTGATCGGTAATCATTACTATTATAACTACTCACTCAATATAAAAAACAGAAAAAAATATGTAAATCCAGGTTTTGCAATTATAATTGTATTTTATTAGGCTTTATTAAAAAATAGGAGATGATTCTGATCGGTAATCATTACTATTATAACTACTCACTCAATATCTTTATATAATTACTCAGTTCAACAATCTTATGCAGCCTATCTTTACAATGCTGCTTTGAAATTAAATCTGCATTACTCATACTTTGTTATGAAATGAAAAAAATAAAACCCAAACTGTAACTTCAATCTAAAAATATGCTGAAAATAAATTTCTAGATAAAGGTAGTGAAATGAAACTAAAATCAGTAGTATGTTTCAGCATATTTCCAGCTTGAACAAGTACTTTTCAATATTAAATGATCTCTATTGCGAAAAATTTTTGAAAAAAATACAATGAGAACAATTATTTATCATTACCTCACTAAGGCTCATTTGAACTTCATCATAGTTAGTGTCATCTGCATGGGAGTTTCCCCCAGGTTTCCGATAAGTTCTTGAACTGGAGTAGGTGTCCTGTCAAGAATTGTTGATCAGCGAACTGACTTTTGGCAAATAATATATTAGTTTATCGAAAATGCAAAAATATAATATATTTTTTTTCAATTCAACTCCTACAATTTGATGTTGTCACTCATGAAGAAAATTTATGATGTATAAAAAAGAAAATTATCAACAGTAAATTTCAATAAACCCATTGGTTTTCATTGTTATTCTCTCCATTCAAAATAAATACGGTATTTTTATTTCTTATCAGTAACAATTGATTCAGCTGAATGCGATACAATTTTTAAAAACCGAAAATATTTTGAAATGAAATTGAGGTCTATAATATACATTAAACTCATGCAAAAGTGACACAATGTAAAAATCTAGTCATCTTGAGAAATACAATCAATTCATTCTCGAGAAGACAACTAATTATACTCATTCATGTAAAAAATAATTTAAACTCAAATTTTAAAGTGTGGGTTCAGGCATAAATAGGTTATCAGTAGTCATAAGAAATCAGATCATTGATTTTTGAACATTCATACATGTCTTGTGAGTTTTTAGTCGTAATGAATGTTAGCAAACATGAATTCTTATGATTTAAAACTTGAATCTTACTACTGATAAAATAAAAATCTGATATTTATGGGAGTTAACCCTTGTCTGTCATTAAATTAACTAGTCTTAAAATTCCTTAAGATAACGATAGATACTAAAAGGAACGCAAAGACTGAGACAAGGACAATGATATATACGTCAGCCCTTGCTATATACTATGAAAAAAAGCTTCAGCTTTACTTTTGAAGTATGTAGAAATATAATTTTGCTATAACTTCCAAACACTTCAAATTTAAAATGAAACATTTCTTTATGTGATACGTCAAATGAGAGGCACTGATGCTAAATATATTTTTGATGCATTTGATACAAGGTCAATATTGAAGTCATAAAGATTGGTAAATTCCATTGACAATCAATCAACGTTTCCACTGGAAGTGACAATTATATAATTATAACAATTCAATAGTTCAATTGGCTCTTGGCTCTCCCACAAGTAAGTTTTTGAAATTTCAGAACTAGATCGTAAACGTCTAAACTCACCAGTTTTACATACCAGTAGTTCTGCCTGTTATAATTCACAGAAATCACAAATCATTAGCAACTATCTTCTGACAATAATAAAATTAGTGTGATTCAATTCAATTATTTTTGTACATGTCGACAGCAATGATATCCTCGACAAGTTGATCAAAAGTATTTCCGGATTCAACTATTTTTAGTTCTATGCGGGGATAAGTGAAGTTACTGATTGCATTTATTTCGATATGCGAATAAAGAATGAATGATTCAATTTACTATTCAATGCGATCAAAGAGTTTCTCCTTACATTTTTTAGAGTAATGAACGTATACCTAGTACATATATATGCTCAACTAACTAATAATAAAACACCCTTCCTCAAGGTAATTGTACGGTTTTTGACTTGACTTCTAAGCCCAAACAATTTGGACCATTATGTGGGGCTCCTAAGAGGTGGCAAAACATCAAAGATTCACTTTTCTCCTTCAACTGGTTAAAAGTTAATATTAGTTGATTTTATTTTATTTTCATGCATATTGTAAATATTTTTTACTGCAAAAATGCATATTTGAGATATTTTTAAAGTTGTTTACACAAAATCAATATAAATACCACCATCTGTGACTTCAGAAAAACTCACCACTTGTCTGGTATCAGGAGAGTCATCTGGATCATCATCACTTCCATAACCCATTAACGAATTCATCTTACAATAATATCAATGAAATACTAGCAAAAAATTACTCAAACGTTGTAAACTCGAACTTATGTGTTAAAATGGCGACTACTAAAATTTTAATTTAGAATTTAGACACAGAATCACAGCATAGCACAGAACTTAAAAGTTTAAGTTCTGTGCAGCATAGTTAACAATTCTTCTTCTTCTTTTCAATTCAATGGCATCAGCAACTAGGGATATCCGGCCAGTTGGTAACGAACGTTATTGTTAAATCCAAATGTGGCCACACTTAAGTGGACCTGGGGCGGGCCCATCCACAATTGGGTTGAAATTCCTATCCAAGAACTTGCCAAGCACGGCAAGCTAAAAATAATCCAGGCAAAAACAATGGTTGTCCATGCACTACGAAGACATCGCACTAGAAAGCACATAGGTTTGTTCGCAATGTAAGCACAGAGTCTATTCAGTAGGTAAGCACAACTATCGTCAATGGTCTACAATGTCAGTGCAAATCCATCCGTTACAGCTTGAGGTGGGAGGAGGTAAAGAAGAAATGTAATGCCTTTAAGTTATGAATATTCAAATGTTCAAATAAAATATCATGTAACGACAGCGGGCCTTGTTGCTTGTTCATCCTATAGATGGAGATATGTAATGAACGAATATTGGCTTGGTTATATGTACACATGAAGAAAATGTGCCACAAATCCTGTGTTTCCCCACACTCACACCTGTCATGCTCCTTTATTCAAATTTTGTGGAGGTGTGCCATAGTTAAGCAATGAGTACTGCGCATTCTAGTTATAGTTGTGATAATATTCCGTGGACATGCCGTGAAAGTATTGAACCAAGGCTTTTTCAACGGAGCTGATATTGATGAGTGATATGTAACGCCTTTATGTTGTCCTAGTCGGTAGTACTCTGTTGACCAGCTGATCCATAAATTCGATTTTATCTCGGGAAGAAATTCACGAAAATCGGCTTGAGGGCGGTTTGTAGGCTCAATACACCGTCCCATCGACGCAAGGCGGTTAGCTGTATCGTTGCCAGGAATGTAACAATGACTCGGTATCCACACGAGGGCAATAGCAATGCCACTGTGAATCGCTTGTAAGACATATCGTTTGGTTTGTAGTGATATGAGGTCACTGTGAACCGAAATTACAGTTCGTGTTATTTTAAGTAATGCACTTTTGGAATCACTAAAAATCACAACACGTCGAAATCTCTGGTCAAGAATAAGGCGTAGTGTTTCCTTAATGGCCCATATTTCCGCAGCACATATAGATAAGTAGGAGGGAAGACTAGCACTGACTTCGGCAATAGTTAGCGAGAAAATTCCATAGCCTACACGGCCAGAGGTATCCTTGGATCCGTCCGTATAGAAGTGAGTGTAATTTCGAAAATTTAAATCAGCTAATCGAGCGAATTCTGATTTGTTTTGCTTCGATCTGTCAAATTCGTTGAAGGGCAATGGTGAGGCAAGAGTGTTCATACCAATCATAAAACAAGGAAGAGTTGGGAGAAGTAGAATGTCATTTAATTTCTGGGAAAGTGAGTGGTATGCTTCAAGTATCGCAGGGATATTGCTTCGGCGCCAGTACTGATGATCTTACAGGAAAGTATCATGTAACAATTGTTACATATGATGTGACAGAATACAGAATATTGGAATTCTGTGGTTTAGCAAACAGCTATAATCAGCATCTGCAGTATTGCCTGATATGTTTCCACAGAACTCGCAATTTTCTGCAAATTTATGGTTCTGAAGTTAAAATATTAAAATGATAATAATATGCCTTTTTCTCTGTTCACTTGATTGAAACCAAGCTACTCTAGGGTTAAAAATATCGAATTTGTCCTGTTCGTTTTGAATAATTTTATCTGCAATTACAAGCTTTTCTTGTAATTGAAGAATTATTTCCATACTATTCCATGTACTACTACTTTCTGAAGCGCTTCTATGTAAATATTTTTCAATTTTATTATGAGTACTTGATTAATAAATTTGATACGAAAAGTAATTTTCATGTATTTTCAATATCCACAATGAAAAGTAGTTACTTCCAGTGGATTTTCCCAGACAGCGCTGTTTCGTCAGTGGTGCTAGGTTGAAACACAAATTATATTTGGTAGGAAACAAGTGTATTTCATCTAGCTATGTGGGAATCTATCGTATATGGTTACCATTATATACTCAGTTGAGTATTTGTTGATGGATATATGAACCTAAACTAAACTCTTCGATAACATCCTGTATGTGTATCATGTAAACTATCGAATATGATAGTCTACATTTCATTCTTTAAATGTTTTGCAAAAGAAATGGACATATTTTTGCTTGTGAGTGGAGATGCATACATCCTCTTTTATGAAAAGGAGTAAACGAGTTCCCACCTTTGAGCGTTTTGAAAAGTTATTTTTGAACTGTTAATTTTAATGTTATAATGAATTATATTAATTTGTGTATATAATTTTTTTTTGTTTAGATTATTTATGGCTTATGTAATCTCCAATATTTATTTTTATATTTCAATACTGCGTGTAATTTCGATGTGGAGAAAAAAGTATTGTTATATTTACATTTGTTATATATTTGAAATTCGCCGAGAATATAAACAAACGAATATCTCTTTGTGGTATATTGATAAATTTTCGAAATAGACTAGGTAAATTATTTAGTTCCAATAGTCATTTTACTAATTGTTATTCTCTAGTTATTCACATTGCTTAGTTTATTGTTTCCTAAGAAACAATATATTGATTATACAACTGAAAACGAATGGTTCACTGCAATTTTAGTGAAAACATAGATCTGAAACTATATTGAGCGGTTGGCTGTCAAACCAACTGACATGTGAGTCTGATATTCAATAATCTGAAGAGAATATACTTTATTGAAATTTATATACATCGTGATCGATAATATGAATATTACAACAGTCTCCGATTCCTGCTTCGAGGAAAATAATTCCGAGGACGTATCAGAGACGGAATTTGTGAGTGATGATGACTTTGAAGAACATTCTAAAGAGCTTCACCCACCCAATTTGACTTCTTACTTGAAGTCTTTGGATATCAGTTGTCCATCTTCTAGCAGAAACTTAGACTTCGACCAAGAAGATGAACATTTTTTGGCAAACTGCACTCAAAGAAGTAAATATTCCATGATAACAGAAGACCAAACCTCAGATAACTTCATGAAACAATTCGATGGATTTTATAAAGAAATGATAGGAAAAGTGAGATCACTCAGAAACACGCCTGCGTTGTGTAATCAAAGCTTTGATAAAATATCAAACGTCGGTGAGGAAAATTTGTTCAAGAACCTGAAAGATACCCCTGAAGTTGCAAAAAAGATGAACGCTATCAAAAAACTGGATGACGAAATAGAGAATATCGTAAGTTTGTACAAAGTCGAAAAATCTGAGAGACTTCAAACTCAACTTGAGATGTGTAATGAGATTTATAACAATGATACACTTCCCGAAAGAGATTCACATATGTTCTTGGAACTGTGTAATTTTGAATTTTCAGAAAACGGTGTTGACGACGAACAAGACAATGACAAGACCAGAAACTCGAAGACGCAACCTGTTGGTACATTCATAAAGAGAAATATAGAACTGGCAAAGGAAGGATTCTTGGCAAATTATTCTTTGACAGATGAAGAAAAGATCAAACTTGAAAATATTCTCTCTACACAAGATGATGATAATGAGGAGGAGAATATAAACGAAATACATGAATATATTTCGGGAGATGAAGAGTCGCTCACGAATGCATATCTTTTCACTAACGAATCTGAAAGTAGAATCAATGATATCGATACCGCATTAGAAAAGTTTTCATCAGATGAAAGAGCAAACGAAAAAAACAATATCAATGAAAATATCGCAAGATTAAATGATTGTATGTTGAAACTAAGTTTAGATAAAATTGACTCAAAATTAAACGAACTGAAAGCCCAAGAAGAGAAGGCAGTGGCAGTGTAACAGTAGAAATAAATGAAGATTGTCCCTCATCAGAAGATGCATAGGTTTTATATTTATATTTTTTACTGTCTTTTTGCGGTGAAATCAACAAGTTACTACTGAAAATAAATGTTTTGTCATCTGATAGAAGTAATCTTATTAAAATACTATTTATTGTTTTGTTCATGACGTGAATTCTGGACATTTTGAAATGGTTGATTTATACCAATCATTTACTTTAACAATAAGGATAAAAATTGTTAAATTCATACATACACCATTATAAAGAAAAAATGTCGCATGCGCTGTAGACGTTAATTAAATATGTTTCGATTCAAATAAATTTTCTCTCACGATATTATATTGAAATCGGATTTTTGCATACAATTTTTTGCATAAATATTACAAATGTAGCTGCATTTTCAACACCAGTGAACCGGAATTCTTTTTTCTATTCAAAATATGGACCAAGCAACTAGTAACTATTCTATTTCATCTAGTCAATCAACAATATGAAAAACCAATGGAATTATCAAAGTGTTCCAAGGTCTAATAAAGGATAATACTTATATTGACATTTAAAAAAATCTGTTTAAAATCTGTTTTTCCGTTAATCAGCTGTCGCCCCCCATACGAACGACAACTCTCAGAAGTTGAGAAACTTTTGCCAGTTAGAGGACTAACGAGGTCTTACCTTTTAACGTGTGATAACTAACGTAACCTAACCTAACCGAACATTACTGCAATAATTCTGACTTATTGCGAACAACATTTCAGAATACCATGTTATGCTGAAGAATGGTTAGTGAGATACTTTTACTCCCTGTTTCGAATGACTAGAAATTCATTCAATACTTTACTAAGGAATATAGAATATGAAGAAATACATACGGATTTTATAGAACGAAACCTACTTTCTCTGATTCAGTGATTTCTTCGAAGATAGAAAAGCATAACAAGCTTGAACATCTTGATAGGCAGATTTTTTGCGAAGGTTTTCGATCATTCCACCATAATCTATAATATTCCGGGTTGTTCTAGAATGCTCTGGAACACTGTATAATGTTCTGAATGTTCTAGAAATGTCTAGAGGGCTATTTGAGATTGAGATATTGCTCAGACGTCTAAGGAATGCATTTTGACTGGCAACATGATACATATC